TGCCGGATCGTTCTTCGCTGCAACTTCCAGCAAACCTCCTCCACGTGGTGTGGTTGCTTACAGACGCTGGAGGATGAACCAAAATGCAAGGATCAACAAGGAAAGCTGCCGACGTCTGCTAGCTGGAGGCTCATGAACAATGCAAGGAAAATATACATGCAAAAATAAATCAATCAATTGACCGAGAAAAGGGCCAACTGACCGGCACCGGCGCTGAGCAGAGAACAGGGGGCGCTACGGAAGAACAGCGACAGCAAGCTTCACCGGAGAAGAAACCAGATCTACCGCCGCAGAGGGAAACGCAGAAATGGGAAAGAAAGGTCAGGTGGGTGTGATATGAACGAGTATATTCGACAGCCAAAGCTGTCGAATATACAGAGGAAACGATGTCGTTGCCAACCATAAACATCTTCGTCAGCCAAAGGCTGTCGAATATATTTGTATATTCGACAACTTTTTTGTCGAATATGAATACTGTCGATTAAACAAGAAATTTCCATTATCATCATCAATTTTACATCTTCGTCAATCTTTCTATCGATTATCTAGATATTTTCGACAGAAATGTGGCTATCGAATATAATATGGTCGCATATGCCACGTTTTCCAGTAGTGCATGTTATGAAGTATTTTTTATACACAAATATAATCACTGTATCATTTTCAAAATACTTAAAGAAACGGTGTATATGAGAGTTGAATTTGGTTTTTTAAAGATTGTGAAGAACTACTTGGAAATCAGAGTCAACGTAGGGATGCATAGCTTCAATCAACGAGGCACATTCTCGAGCAAGGCCTCCAATCTTCAAGTGCTGCTTCCACGGATAAAAAAGCCTGAAACGCCCATGCCTTGGTTCCCATCTGGCAAGATTTGCCTATATATTTATAATTTGAATAAATTAAGTAAATCTCAGATGCATGCTAGTGTAATTAAGTTTATGCATACATACATACATACATATATATATATATAATGGAAATAGAGGTTCTAACTCACCAACATTTCTTCTTTGCCCTTTGAACTGAGAACAGATTTATACCCTTGAAGAAATGACTCATCTTTCTTAATCTCCACGGTCCCACCGTGTTTAGAAGATTCAAAACAAACACTTCCAAATGCTGCATATTTTGTAATAAACAACCATTCAGAAAGAACATAAAAGTATTTGTAAAAATTGATTACACTGACTTATTGACTGCACACTATTTTTACGCTATCTAACTTAATCTTAGAAACTTTAACTTTCGAATTAAAAACATCAAATTATATATGACCCTGGCCCTCTAATATTAATCTAGCATAAGATTAACATTAGAAAATTATTTGTCTCTGGAGATATGGACGTCAGACCCACGGCAAGCATATTATTAAACAAGAGTTTTCTGATGATTCAGGTTTGATATATAAGTTTGACTTTGGAACTTTATGTATTAATCTATTAATTACCTAAAGTGATTTAAATTTTTGATTTTTTTGTAGATGAGAAATGCCAGACCAGTATTCTTCATTAATAGGCATATCAGTGTTTGATGAAATGCCTAAGAGGGATCTGCTGGGTTCTTGGGTATGGGCCGTTGAATGTAAAGGATGTTGAATTGAGATTGTGTAAATGGGGATGCAATGGGTTGAGGTAACCCTTGTACCTCCTTAATAAATT